CAATGCCCTCCCTCAGCTCTAAGGGTGAAGACCCCGTGCAACACGTTGGCACCTGCCCCCTGCAGCAGGCACGCCCCGGCACAGGGCGCCAGGAGTGTCAGAGTCAGGAACAAGGGACATTCCCAAGCTGCCCACAGCACCAGGGTCCAGCCTGGGTTCCTTGATAGAGAAGAGACCTCAGCCAGGGCCCCGCAGAGGGCCCAGCTGGCCTGGGAATCCCGGCCCTGGCTGAGCCTCGTTGGGGGCAGTTTCGAGGGGTGACAGGGGACCCCAGCCCCTGCCCTGCCAGGCTGCCTCTCAGGCCTGGTCCTCAGGGCTCTCCTCCCGCCGGCCATGGCACGTGTGACCTCTGTTGACCTCCCGCGGGCCTCCAGTGACAGCCGTTGACAGGCCTTGTTTGCCAAGCCCGGGGAGGGACGGTGGCGGTTCCAGTGGGGCTGGCCCTCATCCATCCAGGGTGCTGGTGACCTGGCCTCTGGGGCAGAGAACAAAGTCCCTGCGAGCTGTCTGTCCCTGTCACTGTGCCCGCTGGCGGAGGTCAGGGCGGGCTGGCCGGCTTCAAACCCACCAATGAGCAGCTCCTCCCGCTACCCAAGGCTCCCCCTTCTGGCCCTGGCGTGGCGGGAAGCCTGGCCAGTCTACAGGACGCCACGCACACGCAAGCTGCTGCCCGTGGTGCAGTGTCACTTTGCACTTGGGCTTGGACAGGTGTCCGGGAGCCAGAGACTGTCGGCCAAGGTCGGCAGCCCAAGGATGGAAGTCCCTGGGCTCCAGGAAGCCCCCTGAAGTGTGTGTTCATTGCCTGGGGTGGGCACGATTCTGGCTTTCATGCTCCTGACGGGTCCAGCAGCCTCCGCGCCACCTTAACCTGGAGGTCACACGCAGCAGGGGAGCAGGACGTGGGAGCAGGGACGGTGCTGCCCGTAGGGCCTTGGTGAGCGAATGTGGGAGAAGCCCCTGCAAGACGGTCCCCCAGAGGGAGGCCTCGCCACCACGCACAGGAGGAGCTCAGCAGAGCCCGGCAGGGACAGAGGGACCCTCTCCCAGGCGCCAGTTTCCTTTCCGGGGGATCTTCCGGGGGATCCTGCCTCACCCAGGAGCACAGCTGCCCAGTGCCAGCTCACGGGACGCATCCCAGCTGTGGCCAGAGAAGCCAAGGCTGCTGCTTCTGCCGTCCTGGCAGCAAATGCCACCTCCCTGGGCTCTTTTTAGATCAAAGGAAGGGCGGGCTGGAGGGACGAGGGTGGCAATCGGCCCACAGTGCCATTCAGAGGCCGCCAGGATGACCTAAAATAGGCCTTGCCCTTGGACAGCAGTGGAGCAGCCCAGGGTTGGGAGGGGCCTCCTGGCCAAGGTCAAAAGCCCCCACTAGAGAAACCTTTCATAATGTGTCTCCCCAGCGCCCACAGCTAGGCGTCTGTGACCCAGGAACAAACCTTTCCTAGTCAGAGGTGGTTAGAGGAAGGGACCGGAGATTTAATGAGCATCTAGTACGTGCTACACACTTTGCATCTGACGGGTTTGCCCCGTGTCACCCTCCCAGTGATCTTGCAGGGTGGAGATGACCTTCATTAGTTTTCTAGGTCGGCTTGAGGCCCAGAGAACTTAAGCATGAACCTCGAGATCACACAGTGGGTAAACAACACCCCAAACTGCAGCCTGGGTCCGTCTGACTTCATGTCCTCTCCAATTGAAATCCAGCAACAAAACACAGGAGAGGTGGGGGCGGGGGCTCGGCCATGGCTCGGACATTGGCCATCGGACGCCGACTGTGCGCCAGGCCTCCCGGGGTGGTCCTGTGCTCTGTCGCCCCTGCCAGCAGCCTGAGATGGATCTGAGGTCACACTCTACTCACAGACGACAGAGCAGCAGCTTTGGGAGGGCAGGTGGTTTCTCGGGGCCCTGAGACCCAGAACCCCAGCAGTTCTGGTGGCCAGTCTTTAGAAGGACCTGCCAGGGCTGACCCAGCGGCCTCCTCCCTGACGTCCACGGCCACGTCCCACCCACCCCACCCCTGCCACTCATCTGGAGCCAGGGGACCGTCCCTTGACTAAGTGCAGGCACCCACCTGGGTGGCACTACAGCAGCATAGGCAACAGAGAGCTGGCCTGGGGCTGTCTCCTCTGCTGACCCAAGGTGTGGCTGCAGAGGTCTCTGCTGGGCCTGGCCCAGGGGACCCTTCCCTGGCTTTTTCTCGCAGTCCCCGCTCCCGATTCCTGGCTGGAGGAGGGGCTCTTACTCTAAGGCAGGACGAGTGTGGCCAGATGGGGGCTAGTGGACCTGCTAAGAGGGGCAGCATGTCTTGAAGGCAGCAGAGACTTGGAGGTTCTCGTTAGTTTTTCCAGAGAAACTAAAACCAGTGTACTTGCTCTGGACCTTCAAGGTTAGAAGACGTGACTTTCCCAGGTTCGGGACGGAGTCGGCCGAACCGTGCAGCCCTGGTCGTGTGTGGGTGAGGGAAGATGGGTCAGCAGGGTGTCCTCTCCCCTGACTTCCTATCGTGGGGTGTCCCGATGATTATGGCAACTTAAGTGATGAAGTTCAGGCTTCCTGGGGACATCCCTGTCCCTGGGTGGTCCGCTGGCCCTGAGTCCACCGCCACGATTCTCTGTTCCTTATAGGAACCTCTTTCCCTGGACCGAGCCGAGAGCGGGAGTGAGTGAGCCCCCCCAGGGGTGGCCTGTGGCTTAGGGGGTAGAGCCCCAGGTGGGGGATGGAGCACTTCCCCATCCCCCGAGGCCGGGCCCTGGATGCCTCAAGGCTCATCCCCATAGATGGCCGGGGCTGCAGGGAACAGCCCCCCAGGACCAGGTGGGTGGTGCATCCCACCCTGCAGGGGCGAGGTGGCCTGTCTGCTGAGAGGACTCAGCAGGGACCCCTCCAGCTGCTGGGGAGAGAGCTCTGCAGGGAGGACGAGCTGGAGAGCTGACGGAGGAGGGAGAGAGACCGCCCTGCACAGGTCACCGCTGCCCTGGGGCTGAGGGCTTTGATCTGTGCTTGTGATAGAGGTGTCCCTGGAGCACTTGGCAGCCGGAAGGGACCTTGGCCTACTGGCACCAGAGGAGGCCAAGCCCAGAAGTTGAGGCTCGTGCAAGGCCATGGGGCGTGGAAGACGCGGGTCTGGCGGTCTGCACTGCCCCTGCGGGTGCCCAACGCGGGAGGTCTGCTTGCCTGGGCTTTGTACCCTGGACGGCATCTCCCGCCAGCCGTTGTGCTTCTCCTGCGGCTCTGGAAGTGGCCTGCAGCTGACTCTGGGGCTCCTGCCTGGCAGTGCTGCTTCGTCTCCCTGGGGCCTCTGCTCACAAGCCCCCAAGAGAGGCCTCCCGAGACCCTGGGGAACGCCACCCGGCCTGCTCCCGGGCTGCCTCTCTGTGCTGTGTCCACCGGGCAGGGCACTCTGCCCCATTGGAGTGGGGGCTGGACTTGGGCTGCAGTGTCTGGCACACACTGGCCCTTGCTTCTGTCTGTTAAATGGCTGACAATCCTGGAGCTCTTTCTAGTGTGGGTCCTTGGCTTTGGCCCTTGGCCTCCTTGTCTCTGGGCAGTGGCTCTGTGTGGACAGGGTCTCCAGCTTCCCACCTCGGCCCCTGGCTTCCTTCTCCCTGGGCCCATTGTCCCCATCCCTCCCTCCCACCAGCCTCAGGACTAACTGAACCCGAGGTTCCCTCAGCACAGTGCTGGCCATGGCTGGGGGTGGGAGGAGCGCTCCCCAGGGGCTTCTCCTTCTTGGGGGCTGCCACTCTCCCATTGCCTGCTTCAGGCTCCCTGCAACCTGGGAGAACTTGCCCTGACTGGTTTCCCTGCTGTAGGGAGAGAGCAGCAGAGATGGACCGCCCACCTGCCACTCCCAGGAATCGCCCCTGGGAGGAGGAGCAGGGGGATGACCATACCCACTCAGTCCAGGTCACCTGATTTCCCCATCAGTGGCCAGATCTCTTGAAAGGAGGCCACCCAGGTCTCCCTTCAAAGCAGGGTTCCTTAGAAAGGAATCCCAGAGGCACACGTTCCAGAAACCCAACTTGCTCACTGTGCCTCCATTTTCTGTGGGTAAGGAGAGGGAAAGTCCCAGAATCCTGGCAAGGATTTACTTTGGAACTTGTGACACTGTCAGGTCATTAGTCCTAGTGCACAAAGTGTGTACTTCGTGCCAAGTCATATTTAGGGACTTCATCCACATCATCTTTCAACAGCATGCGAATTAATTAATACCGCCCCCCTCCTTTTGGTACCAGGGATTGAACCCAGGGATGCCTAACTGAGCCATGTCCCCAGCTCTTTTTACATTTTATTTTGAGGGTCACACTAAGTTGCTTAGGGCCTTGCTAAGCTGTGAGGCTGGCCTTGAACTTATGATCCTTCTTCCTTAGCCTCCTGAGCCCCTGGGATTACAGGCATGGATTACTGCACCAGTAGTAATGGTGCAGTAATGCCCCTTTTATGGATGAGGAAACAAGCTAGAGCAGTGTTAGGGTGACCCCTGTGTCATCCAGGAAGTGCCAGAGCGCTGAGTGTCCAGGGTGTCTTAGGATTCACTACAGGACACACGATTTCTAAGCCAGGCCTGACTTGCTTTTGAACAAAAATTGCCCAGAGAAAAGCTGCCAAATACCCTCCTCCGGGTCCTGTTGCCCTTAGAAGAGACCCTGGGAGAAAGCTTCTAGATCAATGGAGAAGTCACTCTGCTCTGGGGACTAACTGGTGTGGCCAGGGTGCGCCAAACAGTTCTAGTGCCACATGCACACGTGCCCGCACAAGCACAAACACACACACACACACACACACACACACACACACACACACACACCAACCAGACAGGGAGGTTTGCTTGCCTTGTGAAACCGCAAGGTGACTGCTGAGGCAGAGATGGAAGGTGGTGGCCCTTGGGTCCAGTCTGCCACCCTCTAAAGTTCATCAACAACCTTCTAATACACAATTTTAAAGGAAACTGCCTGGGAGACGAAGGGTCTCAGAGCCTAACGTCCTGTCCTGTCTCTCCGCAGACCCCAGCCCTCCGGCGCGCATGCTGGCCACCCGGCCGTGCTGTGGCCCCGGCCCCGAGCGGCGCGCCGTCCTGGGCGAGGCACCGCGCTTCCACGCGCAGGCCAAGGGCAAGAACGTGCGGCTGGACGGTCACTCGCGACGGGCTACACGGCGCAACAGCTTCTGCAACGGCGTCACCTTCACGCAGCGGCCCATCCGGCTGTACGAGCAGGTGCGGCTGCGCCTGGTGGCCGTGCGCCCAGGCTGGAGCGGTGCGCTGCGCTTCGGCTTCACGGCGCACGACCCGTCGCTCATGAGCGTGCAGGACATCCCCAAGTACGCCTGCCCAGACCTGGTCACGCGGCCCGGCTACTGGGCCAAGGCGCTGCCCGAGAACCTGGCGCTGCGCGACACCGTGCTGGCCTACTGGGCCGACCGCCACGGCCGCGTCTTCTACAGCGTCAACGACGGCGAGCCCGTGCTATTCCACTGCGGTGTGGCCGTGGGCGGCCCGCTCTGGGCGCTCATCGACGTTTACGGCATCACCGACGAGGTGCAGCTGCTCGGTAGGTGGCGCCCGAGAAGGGGACGCCGGCGGGACGCGGGTTGGACGGGCGCCTCCTTTCAGCTCATTCACTCTCCCCAGCCGCATCCCACTGACCCTTGAGGCTTGGGGAGAGCTCAGTCGCAAGGGTGTGGATTCAAGGTCCGTGCCCCACGACTGGCCAGGTCCCTCCCCTGCCTCCTCTCCGTGACCTGCTGGCGCACTCGTCATCTATACCCATCCATCGGTTCCCATCGGTTCAGCCCTTGGTTCCTGTTCCCTGCCGCATTCCTCACGCATCCAGCGGACGCACTTCCGCCCCAGGAGCTCTAGGTCCATCCACGCTGGCAGGCATGAGTCCTCGGATGCACCCAGGCCCACGGGTCACACTACCGGCCTGCGGGTCACATAACAGGAAAGTAACCATTTGTAAGTGTCCAGTTGAGTGGCCTTCCATTAGCAAGCATTGTTTTACTTCCAAAACATCTGATTACTCCAAAGAGACAGCCATAACCAGGAGGCAGCCACTCCCTGATCTGGTAGCCCCTGACAGTCTCCCCTTGGCCCCTGAACCTGCAGGCTGCTCTGGAACCTGGCAGCCTCCACCTCCATCTCTGGGGAGGTGCCAGAGAGCAGGTATGGGGGGTCTGGACTCAGCCCTCTGTTTCACTTCCCTGTGACACAGTGCAGAGACACATCTAAAGGCCACTGGGTTTGGAAAATTTGTCCTTGAGCCCAGAAGTCCCCACCTGCCCTGAGTGAGCCCCTTCCTCCCCAGGGGCAGCCACTGTTTCTGTCTGTCACCATGGATTAGTCTTGCCTGTTACTGAACTCGGTGTAAGTGGAACCCACAGTCTGGGGGGCGCTTATCTCAGCCTAGTATTTTTAAGATCCATCCTGCGGTTGCTGTGTGTATCCGTAGTTTGTTCCTTTTCGTGGCTGCGAAGAACCCATAGTGCAGAATACGCTGCTTGCATATCTGAATGCTGGGGCTGTGTCCGGTTGTCCAGCATGTACCTTGAGGGAAAACCTCTTTGCCCGCCATCCCCACCCTTGGGCACAGAGGGAAGACCCATGCATCCAGCCTCAGACCCCCTGTTTCCCCCAAAAGGAAGAGGGCCACAGAACTTCGGAGTGGTTCAGAGCAGGCAGGGCCTGGGGAGTCTCGGAGGCCTCTGTTCTAGTCCTGGCTCCCCCTTGGAAGCTTTGTGACCTTGGCCAAGTGACTGGAGCTCTCTGTACCTTAGTTTTTTTCTTCTAACATGGGTTCATGATGATACTGCATTGGGGGTTGTTGGCAGGATTACATGAGATGACACATGAAGGGGTATAGCCCTACATCTACCACCTAGGAAGCCCTCAAAAAAATAACAGCTAAGGAGAAAAAAAAAAAAAAGAAAAAAATCCGGGCCCAGTGGCCATGCCTGTAGTCCAGCAGCTGGGAAGGCTGAGGCAAGAGGATTGCAATTTCAAAGCCAGCCTTAGCAATTTAGCAAGACCCTAAGCAACTTACCGAGGCCCTGACTCAAGAAAAAAATACAAAAAGGCCTGGGAATGTGGCTCAGTGGTTAAGTGCCCTTGAGTTCAATCCCTGATTCCAAAAAGAAAAGAATTAACAGCTAAGTAAGAATTGCTATCTGGTTGTGCAAGTGGCCCAGAGCACAGGTCTAGATTCCAGGCTCTGCAGATCAGATTGCGAATAGCCACCCCCTCCCCTTACCGGACATTTCCCCCATATGCCCACTTTCCATGGAAGCTTTTGGTATTTCAACTCAGAGAGTGAAGGTCTCTGAAACCTTCTAGACCCCACGTCTAGAGTCGGAGCTCCTCATTCCTGCAGAGCAGGGAGGCAGTCCTGCCGTACCCGCCTCCTTATCCGCAGCCCAAGTTTCCAGGTAGCACCCGGAACTCACAGCCCTTGTATGGCTTAGCATCTCCAAAACAAACTGGATGCAGCCTTTGAGGACTTAATGAGACTGAATACACCTGGGAAGCGCATGGACTGTCCCCAAAGCCTGGGGATGTAGCTCAGTGGAAAAGTGCGTGCCGAGCATGCTCAAGGCCCAGGTGCAGCCCGGCACCTCCACCCCCACTGTAAACCTTCATAGAACCCTACAGTGTCCTGTGTCCCTTGAAAGAAAGAGAGGGGCAGAGTCCACATGTGTGTAGCGTGGCATGCATGGGCCTCGGTTTCCTTATCTGCAGGTTGTCCCTGAGCTGCCCTAATTAATGGGAAAAACCTGGCACAGGTGCTGCAGGACAATGATCCCAAAACTAAGTAATAAGGGGAGTTGAAATCAGAAGGAATTCCGTCTCTGGGTCAGGGGATCATGGGTGACTTTCACTTCCTTACATTTAACAGATACCTTTAAAAAAAGGGGAGGGGTCATAATGCTTTACAATCAGAAAGTGCAATAAAATTATTTTCTTCTCCAAAGATTATAAAAGATGATTTATGGAAAGCTTCTGGCATGTGATTGAGGCTCATAAATGTTGTTTCCTTCACAGGGGAAAAGCAGGTCACTATGGGTCACACCTGGGTGAAGGCATGAGGCCCGCCCTTCTCATTACAGTGATTTGTAATCAGGGGAAGTTATAATAAAAATCAGAAGTGCCAGGTGCAGTGGTGCACACCTGTGATCCCAGTGGCTTGGGAGGCTGAGGCAGGAGGATAACGAGTTCAAAGCCAGCCTCAGCTAAGCAACTTGGTGAGACCCTGTCTATAAATATAATACAAAATAGGGCTGGGGACGTGGCTGAGTTGTCCAGTGCCCCTGAGTTCAATACCCGGTACCCTCCCCCACCAAAAAAATTAACAAATGAGAAGAAAGCTAGGCGGGCACCAAGTCCCCCCTGCTGCCAGGTGCCATCAGGCACCAGATGGAGCAACCTGAGAACCTCAGAAATCGCCCACTTCCTGGGGGAACTTGGCTTCCCACGGTGGTGTCTGGGCATCAGATGGACCCACACAGGGCAGGCAGTGTCCAGAGTACCATGGGCTCCTGTGTGTCACAAGGAGCCAGGAGTGGTGTGTTCCTTTAGAGGGTCTCCCTGTGAAAGCCCTGGATGCTCCCCACCCCCTCTCAGCCCCTGCTGGATAAAGCCTGAAAACCAAGACCCAAAAATGGCATCTGGGTATAGTTGTCAAATTTAGCAAATAAAAATACGGAACACCCAGTTAAAATTGAATTTAAGATAAACAATGAAAAATTTTTAGTACAAGTATGTCCCGTGCAGTTCTTGGAACACGCTCGAGGCCGGGGGGCGGGGGTGTGTTTATCTGAAATTCCAGCATTCCGGGCACCACCTGGCATCCCTTCTCTGGGAACCCTTCTCATGGAGTCGGGGTGCACTTAAATTGCCCCAGAATTGAACCAAATCAAGTCTCAGAAATCCTGTGATCCCTGCTTGGGGAAGCTGCTGCCCTGCCCAGTGTCCTCCCCCCACCCACCCAGCCCAGTGTCCTCCTGCCCAGGTCCAGCCCTGGGCACCCTGTCGAGGTGAAAGCCCCAGGGTTCTGAAGAAGAAACTGAGCAGGGCCACCGTAGGAGCCAGGGGTGCCTGTGTTCAGTGACCTCGCGACCCCTGGGGAGCTCTGAGTGCCCTTTCCTAGGCTGCACCCAGACCAAGTAAGTCAGAACTCAGGGGGAGGCTCCCTGACATCTGGATCTCCTGAGGCCCCTCAGGGTCCCCGAGGTACAGCCAGGATTATGACCCCAAGCAGCCCCTTGCCTGTGTGCCCTCCCCTCAGCACTACTGAGTTCCTCGGACTCCTCGTCCAGGACACGGCATGGCCATCGCACCCTGCAAGCTGGCGATCCCATTGCCCAGACGTGGGACTCCTTCTATCTCCCCCATTACACAGTCACGTGGCCATCTTCCTGTGGCTTCTGTGGCCCCTGCGCCAGGCACTTCCCATCAATTAGCTCATCTCGGAACGACTTGCAGAGAAGAAACTGAGGCTCATGTTTGCTAGTCTGTGTCCCCGCAGACTCCCCCCAAAGGACACAGGGTTGGCTGAACAGCAAGGGTAGGACCTCACCTCAGCCTTCTTATTACCGTCGGCACAGGTGACCTATGCCCACTTCTTGGGGGCTCCTGAGCCTCCTGGGCCTCTGCTTTCCTCCCACCTGCGTGCAGTCTGGCCCTGCCTGTCCTCCGTGCATGGAGAGCCCCAGGATTCTAGCCTAGGGCCACTGTCTTGCTTTTCCTTTCTTCGGTTGTCTAACACACATGCACCCGGAAACAACATGCACATAGACCTGAGGCAGCTGGCATGAGGCAGGGGTGTGTCTCCTCGCCTGCCCTCTCTCCAGGCCACCTGAACAGGCCTTGAGAGCCATTGAAGCCCTCAGTTCCACGTTAGTCTGTTTTTCGTTGCCACACCCAAACACCTGAGGCTGGGTGCTTTGTAATTGAAAAGAGGCTTATTTGCCTCATAGTTTGGGATACTGAAATCCAAGATTGGGTGGCCTCCTTGATTGGTCTGACGAGGGCCTCGTGGCAGGTGACATCCACAATGATGGGAGCCTGTGCAGAAAAGATCACCTGATGAGACAGGAAGCCAGAGGTCCTCGGGGGGTCAGGCTGGCTCTTTATAACAACCCACTCTCTCAGGAACTGAGTCCCTCTGCAAGATCAAGGGCAACGGGCCTCCGTGATCTCCCACTAATCCCCGCCCTCAGAAGTCCCACCGCCTCTTAATACTGCCACTTGGAGACTGAGCATCCAACACAGGAATCCTTGGGGGGCAAACCATGTGCAGCCTATGGCCACTTCCAAGTGCACACCCCAACCAGAGCCGCAGCCCACCCTCCACCTGCCCTGCCCTTCCCAGCAGCCCTGAGGGAGCTCTGGACCCCACACCTGCCCTGTCACCAGCCAGTGGTACTGCCCACTTGATGGGCCAGTCCCAGCACCTCATGCCCACTCTGCCAGCCATTCTCACCTTTCTGCACCAGGGGGTGACCTGAATGAGAGGCCGGGAAGGCACGGCCGGGTCCCCTGGTCTGCAGCTCGGCC